TCCATTCCAATAAATTCTCCTCGTCAATGTTAGCCTCATTATCACCATCAGCCATGTCCAGCAACATGATTAGCTTGTGCAAGAATATGTTTTGCTGCTGATTCACATTCACAACCATTGCAATGTTTTCATCTTTCAAAAATTCCCACCGTTCCCCCGGGATGGGCTCAGTGTGCAGAGGGCATTATGATTACTAGATTCAACGTTCTAGTTGATGAAGCAAAGTTTAATTTATCGTATAAATAGCTCGGCAGTCTGGTATAAAATTATTCGATGTAAAAATATAATTGTTCAGTATCCTATCCATGTGTTAAAATCCATCTTGAATCCATCTCGACCTAGGTCAGTTCTTCCAAAGGCTCGAAAAACAGGCCGGTATTTTGAAAATCAGCCAACTCAAAGTGGCACCGAGCGAAAAGATCTTTGAATCAGTTTCATTAGATTCTTTTAAAAATATGGGCAATAAAACATTAAAATCATTAAGAGTAGCGCTACTCCAGCCGGTGATCCAAATACAAGATGAAAAAGAGATACAAAAAATACTGTCTACATACCATGAAGACCCAATTCCAGGAGGGCATAGCGGAATAACAAGAACGCTATTGAAAATAAAAAGACACTACTACTGGAAAAATATGACACGTCATATAAAAGAGTACGTACGTAGATGTCAAAAATGCTAAATGTCTAAAACAAAGACGCACACAAAAACTCCTTTGACCCTCACAGAAACACCTGTGAATGCTTTCGATATAGTGATAGTGGATACAGTTGGTCCGCTACCTAAATCGGAAAATGGCAATGAATACATAGTCACATTAATATGTGACCTTACGAAATATTTAGTAGCCATTCCAATAAAAAGCAAAAGCGCAAATAATGTCGCAAAAGCTATATTCGAAAATTTCATACTCAAGTTCGGTCCAATGAAGACGTTCATCTCGGACATGGGAACAGAGGATAAAAACCAGATTTTAACTGATTTATGCAAGTATATGAAGATCAATAATCTCACCTCTACTGCATATCATCATCAAACATTAGGGACAATAGAACGAAGTCATCGAACATTCAATGAATACATTCGTTCATACATCTCTGCAGACAAAACTGATTGGGATGTCTGGATTCAATATTTCACTTATTGCTTCTACACAACACCATCAGCAACGCATGAGTATTGTCCATACGAACTAGTATTTGGCGGACTACCAAAACAGTTCATAGATTTAAACAAAACCAATTACATAGATCCGATTTATAATTTCGATGATTATTCTAAGGAAATAAAGTTTAGATTAGAAATAGCATACAAAAGAGCTAGAATTATGTTAGAAAAAGCCAAGGCTTATAGGAAATTAGCATATGATGAAAAAACAAAAAATTTTGAATTAAAAGTAGGAGATAAAGTACTTATAAGAAACGAAACAGGGCACAAATTAGACCCAGTATATTTAGGACCATATATAGTAGAAACGAGAAGGAACGAGTGAGTCGTTTCTGGGGACACGACTCTACTTATACCGGTACTCAGTCAGTATATACATTTTTGAGCATGATTTTTTAGAATTTTAGAATTTAAAAAAAAATTTTACATTTTACATTTTTTTTGCTACATTTGTGATCTACATCTCATCTACAATGTCTATTCTACATCTAACATGTAGTTTGTACAAGTACCATTTAGATTCTACATCTCCTCCGCTAGGGGTTGCTCGCGCACTGAACGCGGCAGAGTGTGCGAGCGAGAAGGAAAATGAGTTGCGTTGTCGTTGGCGGGAGGGGGAGGGGAAGCAACTGAAAATTAATTTTTCATTCTGGCTATAATTATGATCCGATCTAATTCAGATTCGGCGGTCTGGTAGGTATGGGCATTCTCTACGATACTGCGTTTTTAGTTTTATCGTATCTTTAAAACTGTGCCTGCCACAGATTTTCGTCCTTTGTGTGGGCGGAATTTTGAAATACACTTGTAGCAGTGTGATATCACATGAGTCTGGAAGCTCATGTTCTAGCTCTCTAGCTCTTATAGTCTCTGAGATCCAGGCGCTCATCAAGACGGACGGACGGACAGACGGACGAACAGACGGACATGGCTATACAGACTCGGCTATTGATGCTGATCAAGAATATATATACTTAATGGGGTCGGAAACGTTTCCTTCTCTGCGTTGCACACATCCACTTTTACCACAAATCTAATATACCCCTTAACTCTTTTTTGAGTACGGGTATAAAAATAGAAGATAATGACAACATTTTTATTAAAAATAGTAAAGATAAGAAACAAAAAGTACATAAGGATAGGCTAAAAAAATATATTCAATAGAACGTTTCATGAAAAAAAAAAGGGGTCTGATACAACAACAAAAAAAACAAAAATTTTTTTTTTCCGTTATTCTTCTAAGAAAGTTAACAATAAAATAAAACATAAATTCAATTATATTAAAAACAAGAAATTTGTCAATGAACACAAATGTAAAAAAAAAATTAAACCATTTTCAATACATAAATTTATAATAAGTAAAAAAAAAAAAATAATTACTTTCTTTTTAAAAAATTAAATACAATATATTAACGTTGACACTAAATGACTATATGTATTACGTAATTTCTTTAAAAAGGGAGGTGTAGCATATCTACCCTACCATTTTCATAAATCAAAGGGTATAACAATCCGTTAATACATTGTGACACTTTGTCATAATGAATACAAATATACAAATGCCGGAAGACCACTAAGAATTACATAAACATTCCAGCGCACAAGCAATACGATCCATCGCTTATATACAAGCCGATCGCGGAGCGTGGGAATGCTGAGCATGCACTTTGCAGCTCAACCCATACACGACATATGCATGCCTTCTGCATACATATGTATATACATATATATAAACACGACATATGCATGACTTCTGCATACATATGTATATACATATATATATAAATACATAGATATAAGCATTGCATGTTTTCGGGTTAGCTGGACCCAAGATCAGTATGTAAGAATCATTCTAAATAAAGTAACAGAACGGAGCAGACGCTCCTAGAAAAAGATTAATAATAAATTTATTAAGGAAGAACCTTACAACACGATACCCAACAATGTATTCCATGAGTGATTTTAACTTTCTTTTGAACACCCTTGCGGTAATGTCTTGGCGATCAATGGGTGATTGGCCATGAAATAATTCTTGTCTAATTTCTGTCCACTTTGGATTGCATGTGAACGTTATAAACAAATCTGGAGAATAGTTGTTCTACCTAGATTCTGTGCATTTCCGTCAGCATTGATAGCTTCCCGAAGATGAATGTATTCTTCAGAACGCAGTTTTGCCTGGTTCAACCTGATAAATGTCAATCGCTCCGTTTTAACTTTCACGTACATATCCACAGCATATTGGTGGGATAGACGCCGACATTTTAATATATGATTGTCCTAATTTTCCCGAACCACCAGTCTGTATGAATAATAATTCCTTGAACTAATTTTTTTATTAGTTTCTAGACCTGTGACTGGATTTATCATCTTCATTGAACAATAATACCCATATTCACCTTGCCAAAATAAGATAGGATATTATAACGCATCATATAATCGATGTGTCTCGGATACACGATGTAAAACTATATCTCCCTTTTCTAAATTTTTACCCACGACGACAATAGAGTCCAATTGTTGGCGCATTAAAACGTCTCGCGTGTTCTCTTACAGGCGTCTTATCAGCTTGGACGACAATTCTGTGGTTATCAGACGGCATGCGGTCCAATGCGGTACCAATGGTATCAATTTGACTTGACCGCTCGCGCAGCACAATCCAGTAACTTCATTTTAAACTTAAATGCCTTGCAGCATTGGCACACAACGTTCATTTGTCCAATAGCAACAATTTGCTGTGAACTGTAATCTATTACCGCGTTATAATTGAATGCAGCTCGATAGGGGTCTAAATGAAACATGCGACAATGATGCCCATAAGGGCCCTAGATAGAAGAAGACTATGATGGGGCCGCATCTTTGATCATGCGGCTCATCATTGACAAGTGTTGCCGTATTCTGTCTAGTATTTTTACTTGGCGCATCAACCATAACAACAATGCTGAAAAACTATGCGACAAAAGATGCGGCTTTGGAGTAAACGCCTCTCACTATTTTTCCGCACCTTCGACAATGATGCGGCAGTGTAAAAAGGCTTTAACTTCGAACCAAACCGACTTTTTCGGATAGATTCGGAGCTTTTCATTTTTTTAACGAACAATGTAATTTTCGGAGGGTTTGTCAACCAATTTTAGATCAGCCGTCCCTCCATAGATTTTAATAAGCAATACCTTAAACGCCGAATTAATGCACCTATACACTAAAAAATATAAAAGACCCAGGATATCATTGTTTATTCAACTTTTCCTGAGTTTTTATTGTAAAAAAAAATAAACATACAGCACGAAAATCAACATTTTTGCAATTGAAATCTTAATCTGTGGCAAACTCTTTTGAGCGGAAAAGCGTTCGTGCCTAAAGGGCTCGTTTTAGTAGGAAAGTAATATGTTTAGATGATAAATACTATTGTTTGTTTAGCTATCATGATCAGAAATGATAATTAATAAGAACTATAAAGCAAAACACGCGATCAAAGAAGTTATTCGTCAAAATATCAGTAGATCAACCTGTTGAGCTACTCACACGTTCCTTCTCGTTTTTTTCTGAAAATGTTGATAGTTTATTCCGAGTTTTTTTCTATTATTACAATCTGCAATTAAGGTAATCTCTAAAAAAAACTAAAATTATTATGGGGAAGTGCTCATAATTCCGTTTTTTGAGGATATAGGAAAAGTCATATTGGCACTACTATTATTTTGACCGAAGCTGAATGTATGTATTTATTCAAAATTATTTATTCAAAATTAACAATAATCTGCTAATATGTATATGTAGATATAAAATAATTAAAATTAATGGAAAAAATAGAATTATTAAAAATTAGAAGATTGTAGGTAACTGTATATATTACAGGCAATTAATTTAAGGGATGTTTGTTTAGGGAAAAATATGAAATATATTATTTTAGTTAAGAATTCTAAAAGAATTGTGTTGAGTGTAATTTGACCTGCGGATGGGTAAACGAAACGGACGAAAATTACGGGTAGGTCTAAGGTCTAACAGAAGTGGAGCTAAATGACTTCCCTGTGGCACAAAAACAAAAACACGTTATGTGCGGCTAGACAGATATCTTGTTAAAATTCGTAGATGTTACGTCCGTTTGCAAATAGCTTTGTGAAGATAAGTCGATGTCGATCGATGTTTAAAAAAAATGAAGATATCAGATTACTCCATACATATTGTGGCTTCGGGATGGATGAAAGGTTTGCGATACCTCGGTAATGCTCAATGTGAGATCTTAAACCTTTTTTGTGAACCGGAATGATGTAGGATTCGTACCAAATCACTGGGAGATGATAGATTGAAAAGAAAGGTCAAAAATTGGCATAATGATTGGAGATACAGTGCACTGTATACACTGCAGTGTATAAAATAACTTGGCACCTTTGTCTAGACCCGCACAGAATGATATGTCAATCGATGTATGATAGAGTAATCTGAACTTTGCGACTCCGTTCCGACTTAGAATCGTATTAATGTATTTAAACAAATAGCGCGCAGAAAATTAAACGAACTTGCAGAAAATACAAAGTATTAGCCAATACAATACTTCACACTGAGAAACTGCTTGAAAATGTACATTTGTACATATGTATATGTACATATGTACACACATGCGTATGTAAACAAAGAAACTAACATGGTTATATCGACTCGGCTCTAGAATATACTGTGACGATTTCCGGACTGAGGAATATACACGGAGAGTTACTTCTTACAATTACCGGAGACCTTACATACATATATTAGAAAAGATATTATACATGCATACATATGCATTCAAACAACCATTCCATTTGTAACAATAAACAAATAAGAATTATATTATAAACATTCCGGGACCGGAATTGGTTCTGCATTGCAAACATCTGTTCAAAATCAATTTATGTACATATGTATATATGTATCATTGGCAAGTGTTGCCCTATTCTGAACAGGGCGATGGCTACCCTCTTGTCCAGTGGGATACACGGCCTAAAATTAGTATCCGTCTTGGCCAGTGACGAAAGCCTTCCAACCAGGTCATCGAAAGCGACTCGACTCATGCGAAACTGTTCTTTGAAAAACTCCTCGCTATTGGACGGAACATCCAGCTCAAAATACTGGCCAAACCGTTCCTAAACATTTAAATTAAAATAATTCTGATTGCAAACTACGAAATGGTAACACAAATACTAACAAGGGTCCATAAAGATCTTTTGGGAGGCACTGATTCCAACTTTAAAAGTGCCACCTTAAAATTTAGGTCGGCAGCACATAATTTTTGTTCGGTGGAGCCAACGATAGCTTCACTTGCATCGGACTCCTCCTTAACAAGCTCCATAAACAATTGGGTGCTCGTAGTAAAACTCCCAAATGCACCGTTTTCCACATTTAAAAATAAATCGCTCATTATTTTAGTAATTTCTATAAATTTCAATTTGTGCTGCTTTTGCTGTCTTCTTCTTGCTCACCGAGTTTGTTTACATTAGTAGTAGGCCGTACAGCTGACAGATGCTTCGAAAAAGATGCGGCTTTGGTGTAAAAGCGTCGCATCATTTTTCCGCACCTTCGACAATGATGCGGCTGTGTAAAAAGGGTATAAGCCTAGCTAACCCACGGTGCCAAATTCGTGAGGGCGAATTCATCTTGAGCGAAAAAAGAGAGCTTTCATTGCGCTCCCGCCTTGCCCTAATCTACTTACACTAGAGTAGGTATGGTTTGCATTTATTCTTATTGCATTCCTTGTATTCCTTTTATCCTACCTAATGCACCGCTCAGCAGCCCTCCTACTCACGACACACAGTGGGCCTTCAGCCATTTCAGCTTGCTAAATTAATAACTTCTGAACGAATCATATTCATGAAATAAACTGCATTTAAAAGAAAAATCTTTCAAAATGTAGCCTGCAAGATTAAATGGTGCTAAAGAAGCTTTATAATAAATAGTCAAAGTTGAACTTTGATTCCGGTGAATATGTGCTAAGCTTTGTTTTTTCCCATAGATAAATAAAGTTTAATGGTTATTATCATTAAATATGAATAATAATTTAAAATTTTATTTTTAAATGAATATAATAAAAAAAAATTTTTTAAATAGATACATATTTTTATTATAAAACTTATTTCAGATTTCTTGTTTCAATAGTCTACCATGTAAAAATATCTAATAAACTTAAAATTTCTATAGATTTCAATAGCGTACTCGGCGAACGTTGTCTTCAGATAAACTCCAGATTGATAACACTACTCGACACGAGTTTTTCCAATGGAACAAACCAACTTTTTCTTAAAGATTTGGGGCTTAGAAATGGTTTGATGAAATTTTTGAAAACTGGTATTTTTTTAAAGCTTTTTTCAGAGGTAGCGCATCTTTTTTTCACATAACTCTGGTATCTTACATCTGGTTGTAGAGAACTTTGCTATTTTGAACAGATATCTAAAACAGCTAGAAGTTGAGCACAAACACTTTGTGATTTCAGCTTACCGTCTGTTGTTTGGTTAAATAAATTTAGCTCCCAAGTTTCTCCATAGATTTTTATGAGCAATACCTTAAACGACGCCTAATTAATGCACCTTTACACAAAAAAATAGAGAACATAGGACTTTTCCTGAGTTTTTAAAGTCAAAATTTCGTAAAAAATACAATACAAATACACATACAATTCATTTCAATGCTTTAGATTTCCCAGACGTTAAGCTGAAATCACAAAGTGTTTGTGCTCAACTTCTAGCTGTTTTATCTTCTAGCTGTTTAAATTATCTTTTCAAAATAGCAACCAGACGTATGATACTAGAGTTACGTGAAAAAAGAAGCGCTACCTCTGAAAAAGCTTTAAAAAAAATACCAGATTTAAAAAATTCTTCAAAAAAAGTCATGCCATAGAAAAAAAAAATTATCATCAAACCATTTCTAAGCCCTAAATCATTAAGAAAAATTTGGTTTTGTTCCTTGAGGAAAACTCGTGTCGAGTAGTGAAAATGGTGCTTGATAAACACTCTTCCGCTTAACATTTCTAAATGTAACGTCATGACATTTTATCGCAGAAAGCCTTACATTTTCGACTATACTATCCGTCACATTTCCTTAAAACTCTTGTTCACTGACTTGGGCGTTATCTTTGGTTTCATTAAATGATGGTCTAAGGAATTCACTGACCCTTACACAACTAAACTTTTTTATGTTTTCTTGTCCGGCCAATTTTAGAATATGATTCCTGCGTCTGGTCTCCTCATTACAAAAAATATAAGGATACGCTCGAGTCCGTTCAAAAAAAATTCCTCGTCTTTGCACTTCGTGGACTTAATTGGGATCCTTCTAAACATCTTCCCTCTTATGAGAGTAGGCTGCGTCTCATCGCTATCCATTCTCTCGAAAGTACTCCTTGTTAATGAATAATCTAATTTAATTTATTCTTAACTTTTTACGCTATCTGTTGTTCTTCTGACCACAATTTGTCAACCGTCAACGACTTCAGACGTATTTTTGTATCGCTCCGCCGTGAAAATCAATTAATCGCGATTAATCGTAAATTAATTCGCGAAAAAGCGCTCGGGGTAGGCATGGGTACTAGTGATCGTGCTGCCCATTGTTAATGTGTGTTTGTGTGTGTGTGTGATTTGGTATGCATACGGTACATAAACCGTTTACAAATTTGTCGTCGCAACTAGAACTTGAACCAGTTGGACTGCGGAGAGGGTTTCCTACGTCGAGCAAATGAGGGTATGATGACACGGCGACAGCATCGGTTGATTGCAGTTGTAGAGAATAAGTGAACAGGCAGTGATGGTCCTGTTTCTGATACTGATTTTATTCAACAAACTTAAATTCTATTTATGGGTAAGAAAAGGTACAGAAAGTGCAGAGTCTAGTAAGAATATGATAAAAGGGAATTGGAATTAATATTGAATTAATTTGGATTTAATATGATATTGTGTTATTGGGCAATTGCGATAGTCAGCAATTGCACCAGTGTTTTTGCCCTCTGAAGAGCGATCGCATCGTTGGCAGAAATTGCTGCAGAAGCGGTTATTGTTGACTCAGCTACAATGCTTTGTCGTTTGTTATTATGTCTACCGTTACATGGGTCGACCTGACTTATTCGATAAGTGTATATTATGTCTGGACGTTGATATGCAATGACTGCACCATCAAGTGGCTCATGCGACACCAAGCCGACGCCTGTTACGCGCGGAACCCAGGCAGAAACGCAGCCCTCCTCCCACCCAACCGGTTCGTGCAAGGAATAATTCGATCTACAAAGCGAAAGGAACAAAGGAATGAAGTTTCTAGTAGATCTAATAGGAATCGTAAAGTTTATGCGGCTCAACAAGTCAGGGCTATCTACGTCACCCTTGATCAGGTTGTGCATAAAAATCACACGAAGCATTTTTCTACGACTAACTAAGGTTGGAAGGATTATTAAAAGCAATCTACGAACATAAGCTGGCAGTCTCACACCTGCATCCCAGTTAAGGCCACGCAGAGCAAAAAGTAAAAAGTTTTTCTGGACTGACCACCTCTTTATAAACCCAAGCACACCCATGGCCTTATTTACCATGGTAGAAATGTGTTCAGAAAACTTGAACTTTGGGTCTAATTTAACACCAAGATCATCAACCAAGGTAATTCTCTCAAGAGAACCACCGCAGAGGCTATAAGGAGCCAAAAGGGGGCTGGAGCGATGAAATGTCATTACTTTGCATTTCGAGGCATTTAGGTGTAACATATTTGCACAACACCATGATTGAAAGTTATTTAGATCGGATTGCAAGCGAGAGTGAAATGAAATGTCCTTATACTGGACACAAAGTTTAACATCATCCGCATACATGAGTACTCGAGAGTTTGTTAATACTGAAGGCAGATCATGAAGAGTTAATGGATAGGGTGAATAGTTTAAGCAAGGGTCCACACAGAGCGTCGGCACAGTACCTAAGTACACAGCCGGGAACTCCGTCGGGACCTGGTGAAAACACCGGCTTAACTAGTCGAAAATCATGAAGCAGTGAGCTTTCATTTAACAAGGGGCTGAAGATGCCATTCGACCTTGGTAAACTGTATGGATACGGCTGACCAGAGTAGCTTTCATGAGAATAGGTTGTTTGGAAAAATTTGGCAAAAAGATCGGCAATTGCCTGATCATTGTTTGCTGACATATTGAGAAAAGATAACGAGGATGGATGTGCGGACTTTCTATGCTTACTATTTACGAAGCTGTAAAACTGTTTAGGGTCCTATGAAAATCGTATCCTGCATCGAGATAGGTAGTTTTTATAGCATTGAGCGTTAAGAACGGAGAAAATTGACCGAGCTATTACATAGTGAGAAAGAGAAGAGGGAGAACCAACTTCTCGAAATTTTTTATAAAGTCTTGATTTTAAATTTTTTAGACTGGATAACTCTTTGGTAAACCAAGGGGGCTTTCCAGATCTAACCGGACAAGAAAGTGGAACACAAGAATCAAAAAATGTGTCAAGTACATTGTAAAAAATGTTTGTGCCTTTCATAACGTCAGTGCACAAGTACAGAGCGGACCAATCAAAATCCCTAATAAGGTTATTAAGCTTCGTAAACTCGGCTTTACGAAACAGCGGACACGTTCAGATAGCCTACCCATTCGATCCAATACAGTAGTTCCAATATCGACTGACACTTCGAATGTAGGATGGTAGGAGTCTTCAGGTATACTGAGCGGAAGGGCTCGGGTTAACAACGCTATGGTCCGATCCGAGACAAAGCACAGATCAAGCAATAGACCCAAGGAATTTTTGACATGGTTGACTTGAGACAGGGATAGGTTTAGCAAGCCGTCGATAAAGTCATGTCGTGACCGTCTTCGTTTACCGAAGACCAAACAGTACCTGGCAAATTGTAATCACCAAGAACTATCATATGGTCTTTATCTGATAGCGAGGAAGAAACAGTTTTTAAAGCGGACAGGTGATGCTCGTATATTAAGATATCCGAGGAAGGTGGAATATACGAGCAAGTAATGAAAATGGAAAAGCCTGGGAGAATCAGTTTTGCGCACAGGAATTCCAGGTCTTGTTGAACCTGGACCATGAAATGTTCCGACGTGAAGTTTGAGTCCACTGCAATAAGGACCCCACCTCTACGTCGAGACGAACGGACATTTCTAAAAATTGTGTACCGACCTGCCAAAACTTCGGAGCTAAGGATGTCCGGCTTTAACCAGGTCTCGGTGAACACAATAACGTGGGATGAGAATGCGAGACAAGAGACGAGAAAAGAGTGCTGAGCTTACTACGCAAGCCTCTAGCATTCTGGTAGGTAACTACAAGAGAGGATGTTAGTTTTTTGGATGGGTGGAAGTAGAGGTGGAAGATGAGGATGGAGATGGAGCACTGGTCTGAATGCTAGGAAGAGTAATGGGGGTCTATTCTTTTTCTTAGCCTTAAACTCTTTAACCACC